TTGGAAATGGTTGAGATCTGTGGAAATACCACGGAAGTCATAGTAAAGGGACGTTGACATTTGAACTTTGCAAAAGGCTGTATTTTTCCAATAAGACACAATTTTGAAAGGTTTGAGTATACCTTACTCTGAGAGACAGTGATTCCTAATAATGAGTAGCAGATGCTGCAGTATTGAAGAATTCGGGAAGAATATCCCAAGGTTAATATTAGTTAGTTTATGGTCAAATAAGTCACAACTCACTCTCTCTTTTTTTGTTTTAAATAAAAAATAAGCAAATTAAATGAACTAGTCTTTTTATTTAAATTGATGTCTGCAGTCATAAAGCTGAGTTAGAGTAAGAATATAACTGAAATTTGATCTTTCAATTTAGTTAAGTAACTGTGCTGTAAAATCCGTGGAGGACAGCGTGTTCAAAGCGGTTTCCATAGTGATTACACTCGGTACTAAAAGTCGTTCATAGACCGTAAAGATCAGATTAGGGCTGTTGTACCTTTTCTCTCTGCCGTGTTGTTGTGCCTTGGTTCTGGTGGTGGTGGCACCGTGGGCTTTGGCACTGGTGGGGTGTGTGGTGGTGCCACCAGGGTCTGTGAGGGTCTCACCAGTGCTGATGGTGGGAGGTTAGTTTGGAATCAACGTGGCACTCAGGGATGGATGTCCGTAGTTGCGTTATTGCCAATGCCTTTTGTGCCAGAGGGGCTCTTGGTCTTGGCTTCTGCTATTGCCAGCGTGGCTTTTGCTGGTGCTGCTGGGGGTGGCCAAGGTCATGGTGATGGAGCTGCCCGTGGCACCAGCGCTGGCAGAGTCCCTGTGGTCACTGTGGCTCCTCCTGGAGCTCCTGTTGGTGGTGGGGCGCTGGTCTGTGATGCTGTGGGGGGGTTGCTTGCTCCTGGACCCCCTCCTGCTGCTGTGGAGCAGGGTTGGTGCCAGTTTAGGGGGTGTCTCCCAACGCCCCTCCTGCTGCTGTGGAGCAGGGTTGGTGCCAGTTTAGGATGTGTCTCCCAATGCTGTGTGAGACTGCTGGGCCACCTGGGCCAGGGGTGCACAGGCAGTAAATTGCTGCCGAGTCGTGGTTTTTGGGGTGAGAAGAGCCCATCAATACAAACGAGCAGCAGAATGGCCTCTGATCTCTTGCAGATCTGCTCTTCTTCAGTCTTTCCAGCATGGAGATGATTTCCCTAGTTTTGTGATACTGAACTCTACAGAGATTCTAAAGTTGTAATTGTTGACCGAGTTCTCTGGCAGTTTAACAGTCTGAAAAGTTGTCTGCAACAAAACAGCTTTGTAAACTGTGTGCCCGGGCTCTTTGAATGAACAGAAACCTCATTTCCTCAAAGGAAGATGTAAAATCTCCGCTGAGCCATAGAGGTCGTGGCAGGAGTCAGGTGAGCGTTCCTGCGCTGCAGAAGGGGGTGGGAAGGGGCACGTTTCTGTACATTTTACCCGGGTAGAGGCTATTTAATGAAAATATTGTTATGCTTTGACATAAGCCCAGCTATCTGGTGGAACGTCCCTTGCCTTTACCTCCCCTTCTCTTGCTTGTTTTCTCTTCGGCAGCTGCATAATTCTTAATTTCCTCTGCGAGGCCGGGTTTCCAGCCCCAGCCCTGGGCTGATGCTCTGACCTCTCTCCTGCGAAGCGGTGCCTGGCGGGGTGTTGCTCTGGTGGCTCGGAGCCCGGCGGTGTGTACGGTGTGAGATGTGGGGTGTGAGATGTGGAAGGGCTGTTTCGGTTGGAGCCACGGGTGTGTTTGGGGCTGGCAGCAGGCTGGGGGTTTTTCTGGGGTTTTTGTTGTCAGGTTTTGGTTTTTTTTTTGGTACTTTGAGATCTTGTTGCTAGGGCATTGTTGAGTCATTTTACTGGTATATCTGGATCAGTTTATATCCTTCTTCTGCTGTGAAATTTAATCCCTTCTGTCAGTTTTCCTCACATTTTGTTTCCTGGGCAACAACCCGACTTCTGAAGCCACCGCTTTTCTCTTTTTAATCTTTGTGCTGTTACTAAAATGATCAATAAATCAATACATATTGATTCTGAAGCACTGCCATTAAGTTTTAAAGCTGATATCTCAAACTAATTAATAGGAATGCAAACCTCTGAGTGACTGCTTCAGACCACAGCTATGCCTACAGCAATTTTAACCTTTCAGAAGCAACCGTGTTCCTGCTACAAAGTGTGCTAGACCTTTTTTGGGTATTTTGAATATTCTCCTGAAATGCTAGATAGTTATTTTGGAAAAAAAGTAAATTCTGAGATATATTATGTTATATTTATCCCTGAAATGCTAGATAGTTATTTTGGAAAAAAAGTAAATTCTGAGATATGTTATATTTATTGTGGACTGAATGAGCAGTGTGTCTGAACCCGCCCAGAGGGATGCTGTGGCGTTCGCATCCGCGCCTGTCGCCTTTATTTCAGTCGGACTGCGCCGTTGCCAAGCAACAAGTGCAGGACTCCCACGTCTCCCTGCCTCCTTGCTGCTCCCTTATCTACCCGGTTGTATTCCAGAAAAATACAAGGAAACCTAAATTTCAATCTGTTTTATTGACAGCAGTGTGGCTGAGGAGCCCTTTGCTTGCCCTTCCCGGTGGCGAGGTTTGTTTGGAGAGCGTGGCCATGGACTGGGGACTCATCTCCCTGTCCCTGCAGGTCTCTTCTTCCCTGCCTTCCCCGGCCTGTACATCTGCTTGGAAAACCCCACACTCCCTTTTCCCCCTCCAGGCTTTTATCAGCATCCTTTAGACTTCAAAGTCTGGGTAGCAAGTCATTCAGTGTGGGGACTTGCAATTTGCCCCAAACTACTTCTGGAAAGCTGTGTTTTCCTGATGTTCTGGAAGCTGATGTTCTCAGGGCATTTAAAATTGATTCCATGTTGAGTTTTTTGCATCCAGTAGAATTTGGCATCCTGTCTTGAATTCTTCAGCAAAGGCCCGTGTTGTATTTCGTGTAATTGCCTCAACTCAAGGTGGTTTAGTTGCAGCACCTCCTTTAGTGGCCTGTCCTGCCCCACGAGCTGAGCTGCTCTGTGCCGAGGGGCATGGACCCAGAGAATTTGAGGAAATGCCCAGTTCTGGATGTGGTAAGGAGGTTGCAAACATGTTGTCTGTCCAAAGAGAGCAGAAGGTAGTAGTGGTTTTTCACACCGATCCTAGTTCTGTCCTATTAAACATGGAGAGTCTTTTTGAGAGAGGGAGAGCTGCCTTTTTCTAGTGGGTAGAGACATGCCTTAGGGGATGCATGTTCTGAAGGGTAGGAGACCCTGTGTTACTGCTGTCTATTCAGCTGATTAATAAACAATGTTAGGGATACATCAGTATCAAAATAACATAATTTTATTTAACCATGATTTACCCCCATAAGACATGAAGGTTGAGCGAAACGTCTGCTTGAAATGGGTTTGTATAACGAGGTATTATCTATTCAGCAATATTACTCCACACATTTGAAAAGAAACACCGTCGCTAATTCAGTTCAATACAAACATAACTTTATTTTTACTTAAATGCCAATGAAATAACTGTACAAATTTGTTGTGTAACATTTACTGTTAGAAATTAAAACACGTTTCTGGTTATAGAAATACTGTTCACCGTTGGAAAGTTGTGGTTTCTCCGATACCAGTGGTTGTAAATGGTCTGCAGCCCTCAGTGACACCTAGGAGAAATAGGTAGAGGACTCCAGTCGCAGTAGTGAGGTTTTCTGGGTTTTGCAGCACCTTCATGCTACAATAACTGGAAATTAAATGGCCTGAAATGAATGGAAAACATTGTATAAAGATTTGTATTATTAAGCGAATAATACTTTTTCAATGAACTTGTTCTTCAGTTTTCATTTCATGCTGTTTGTGAAACTTCATCTGTAGTATATCAAGTACCTCTGCCACATAATTTAAGTTATTTTCCTAGAGTGGACAGAACCATGCGTGCAACTATTTCTACTCACTGATGGTGCAGATGGCAAGGAGAAAACCATTCATGCTCCTCCGTATAAAGCAGGGATTCGGGCTTGTTCAATGCCATGGACTGAATTAATTTTTTATTTTTTTGGGTCACAAGATTCAAGGATTGTTTCAATGACAGCTTTACAACTAATTGCTTAATTGATTTGTTACATAACTTGTGTTAGAAATTGGCTGATACTTCACTTTACTTATCAAAAAGTAGTAGTTCGATACATTCTGGCTGATTTGCGATATTCTTTTAAGCGTAATATATTAACATTTCAGATTTTTGGTTGTCACTTGAAATGAAGTGAAGGAGTTCCCCTTCATTAGTTTGGGTAGATAACTCCTTGTTGTTGGAGGGTGTCATGGCATTGAACATCTTGTGTTTTCCTCCACTTTTTTTTTTTTTTTAAATATGGAGAGCGAGAAATAACTTGCCTGCAGTCTCTAAGTCAAGACAGAGCAAAAAGAGGTATCAGCCCCTGCCGCTTCCCCCATGCTGAAGCTGGACCGTGTTGCCTTCTCAGTTTGCACCCTCTTAGCAGACATCATGGCATTGTCATATTTAATTCCTAAATTCAAAACTGTTGTTCTTCATATTTAAAATATCCTAGTACATATGAAGCAAACATAGATACACATGCTAGCGATTTTTCTCAGGAATAACTTCTGGTTAGTGAAACAGCTAGGTTTAGTTCCTTTATTTTTTTCCCTTCCCTTTGCATGTCGCCGTAACTTACAGAGGATCTGTGCTGCTATAGTACAAGAGTTGCTCACTGGCAAGTCAAGCAAGACAATGCAGATATGATACAGGCCTTCTATTTTTTTTTTCCAGTTGTTTAATGACAAAATCATACAGGTTAGTGAAACAGCTAGGTTTAGTTCCTTTATTTTTTTCCCTTCCCTTTGCATGTCGCCGTAACTTACAGAGGATCTGTGCTGCTATAGTACAAGAGTTGCTCACTGGCAAGTCAAGCAAGACAATGCAGATATGATACAGGACTTCTATTTATTTTTTTTTTTCCAGTTGTTTAATGACAAAATCATACATAAAATCAGTACTGAAAATTCTGATGTTTTATTCTGTGCAGGTAAAATTAAAAATTTAAATACAAAATAAGCACGTTTTTAAGAACAAAATCATAGGTTAGTTTTACTCAATTAAGACATATTAAAATAAGTAGCAGCTTAGTATCAAGACATTAGTGTGCACTTCTTTAATGAAGAAGCGTTATTTTCTTTAGATCAGAGTCAGAACTTTGAATTTCTTGTGTTTTGATTCGTTATTTGACCCGGATGTCTTACCTCCAGCTTTGTATCACAGGAATAAACTCAATAATTTTCACAAGACCGGCCCTTAGCCGATAAACATTGCCACTGCGTTAAGCGTTACAACATAAACCAAATATATCTGATGGGTACTTGCTTTGGAGGGCACGTGGGAACTCTGAGTGTTTGTGGTGGGTTCCTCTTTCCTGAAGGTAGCGGTTGTGCTTTGAGGCATCCTGGAGAAGTTTGTTGGCATCCCGCTGGTGATGCTGAGGGTCAGGGGGGTGGTGGGCGCTCCCGCTGAGCCCGTCAGGCTGGAGTTCAGCTGGGTGGAATCCTTGATGTAGATGGTGTGCGTGGCTGCTGCTTCTTGGGAGCCAACCTTCCTGGTGGTCAGGTCTTCTGGGTAGAGGAGCAGCGGTCGGTCTGTGCTCGTGAACACTACGGTTTGGCTTGAGGTCGCCGAGCTGGTCACCTCCTTGGCTTTATATTGTTTATGCATCCTTGTCAGTAGGGTTGGTTGGGTTGCCACTGGAGAAGTAGCTTTGTCTGCTGCCTTCATTCCCTTGATCATGAGGCTGGAGTCGGTACCTGTGGGAGCTGCTGGGGTTGAGGTGGGACCCAGCCAAAGCCCGGACTGGTTGGCACAGGGAGCCCCTATAACTCTGGCCGCCGTGGCCTGCACCCACTGAAGCAAGTAGGGGATGTTGTGTTCATCACTGCAGGCCCAGGGGTTGTTGTAGAGCGTGACCACTCGCAGCTGGAGGAGCTGGTCAAAGGCTTTGTCGGGAATGAAGGTGAACTTGTTGTTGTGCAGGTAGAGGCTTGTGAGGCGGCGTAGTCTCACCAGTGTCCCCGGGAGTATCTGGGACAAGAAATTACTGGATAGATCCACCGTCTCAATGTTGTAGGGCATATTGGTTGGAACAGTCCAAAGTTTGTTGCTACTGAGATTGAGAAACTTGAGGCTGCTCAGTGTGTTGTTGATGAGAACCGCCCTTTCCACCATATTCCTGGAAACATCCAGCACTCTAAGATTCCACTGGTAAGCTGTGTCAAGCTTCTGAAGAACTTTGATGTTGTTGTTTATGGCATATAATTCCCATAAGGACTTGGGCAGTTGAGCAGGAACATTCTTGAGCCAATTATTTGAAATATCAAGGGTCCTCAAATTGGTGAATCTCGTTAGCTGATAGTCGAGATCCATGAACTGGTTAAAGGACAGATTTAAATATGTAATGTTGTCTTGAAGTCCGTCTGGCAGCACAGTTAAGTTCCTGCCCGAACAGTCCACATTCCTGTCGTTTCCTGAGCATGTACAGTTAGAAGGACAGACACCCGAAACGGCGGGTATGAAAAGCAGAAGGACCAGCAGACAGGTAGATGTGTTCAGTGTCTGGTACTCCATTCTTGCCTGAAAGTAAATATACCAAAATGACACCCTTTAATTCCGTCCAATATATTTTATTTCTTTATAAGGGTTGTCTTTGCAGTGACCACTTGCAGGAGAAATTAAGTAAAAATATCAATAAACCCCTTTGTGGCACGGTCCTTTTTAGAATTGTTCAAGAGAGACTTCACAAAGCATCCCTTCAGAGACTGTCATGTTGTCTGGCAGAATGAGACTTGTTTTTTCATCTCCCTTTCCCCCTCAAGCTCAAATGAGGGCTTTCTTCCGAAAATGCAAGTCTCTTCCAAATGTTATACAATGTCTGCCTCTTGTTTTTAGTGATTTCAAGCCTATATTATGTTTGGAATAATGTGTTCTTTTATACAGGATGAAAAAATGGCTGTCAACTGGATCTGCTTTACAAATCTCTGCAGTAATGTAGCAGTCCCCCCCGTACATGCATGCTATTTGCTTAAGTAAAATTGGTTGAAATACATCTTAAATTGTTACAAATTTAGTTTGCAACCCAAATTCCACCTTCATACCGGCATGCACGTTATTATTTTTCCTTATTATGGTGTTATTTACATTCTCGGAGCTGGTAACACATGTTTGAAAGCTGAATTCACGTTAGTAAGAAATCTCTGACACTGCAGCAAATTCCTGGTGCAAGCGTCTCTCATCAACTAATAATTTCCTTCTTATTCCCGTCTCTAATTTTGTAGCAGGTTTTTGTGATGGAAAAACACACCAAACCCCCCCCCCCAAACTTACCGTAGTCTGTCCTGCAGTATCAGCACATCGTTTCTGTGCGAGACGGGAGCGCAGAGGTCGCCCGGCTGCGGGGAGCAGCGGGAGTTGCTGTCTGAGGGCTGTGCTGCATCCTGCGCCGCCGGCTGGGGCTCTGCAACCTCCTCATCCCCCTCCTCGGCACACTGCAGCGCTGCCGCGCGCCGGCTGCACAGCGGGCACGGCCAGGGAGGGAGCTGGGCTGTGGGATTTGGGTCGGTAACTTCTCCTCTCTCTCTGGTCTGGGCTCTTTTAATGCATCAAAACGCACGGCGTTAGGTAACGGCACCGAGAGGAATTCCTGCAGGCTCCTTTCAAACCTTCCTATTTGAAAAGTCATGTTGAGCTGTGTTCTTTTTTACCTTCCATTAACCTCTCCTCCTGTAATAAAGGTTAATGCTAATTCAGGCTTCCTACCGTAAGCTTTTTTTAAGCTACGCTGCCAGAGTATCTTTTCATGATTTTTAAAATACTCCGTTTTCTACTCCCCAGATCGTACTGTCGCTGTGTTGTCAGGAACAATATAGCTCAGCTTGTAGGATTTTACAGATTTCTATAGGAAATCTCTATCTGAATTTCTCCAAGCGATATGGCAGGAGTGGATGTACTTCATAATGCTGTTGATTTTAACATGCTGTAATGCAACAAGCCTTAAAGAAATCTGCGTGTAATTGGCATGTTGTTCTTTAGGCTATCTTTAGGTGAGAAAACTTTGTAAATATCTTTTCCTAGGACCATTGTATGCACAGCAGCTTAGAACTGCATTTGCATAGCTCATGACTTTAATTTTTAGTGGTAATTTAAAGATTTTGAAGTTTATTGTAGTAATATATGCAAACGTGTGCTCTGGGCAACATCCCCATAAATAGTCCCTCCCCGAGGCAGGGACTCAAAACTACAAACTCCGCCACTTTGCAGAGATATTGTGGAAGGCTCGGCATATAGCAGCTTCTTTCCAGAAATCTAAACATTCAATACTGATTAAAAAAAAATAATTTACCTCTGAGACCATCCTCCTACTTCCCACCAAAGACTTGGCTTATCAAAAGGCATGGCTTTCGCCCGGCCAGTGAGTGTCACTGTCCTCAGGGCCAGAAGGGAACCCATAAGCACTTAGACACTGTGAGCTAAAAGGACTCTGACATCCATGCAACATTACATGAATTTTTAAAGTTTATGTTAATAATATTGAGTGCACTCTGAAAATACTGCTTCAGAGGAAGAAAGTAGTGAATGTGCACAGCTAGTTCTGCTGATCGTTTGCCTGGGTGGGCTGCAAACAGTCTCTATTTTATCTATAAAAATCAGAAGTATGTAGGTAAAAGAAAGCCTTTTTGTACTTGTTTGTCAAGTGTTGGGAGCCGTTCCTGGTTTTGGTGAGCACTGTGTAACTCTGCACTCACACCCTTCTCTGCCTTCCCACACCACGGCCTGGGGTGAGAGGGGGTTTTTCACCAGTCAGTGTTCTGGCAAGGTCTGGTCTGAAGGAAATCCCCTTGCTATTGGTGATGAACAAGTGATGGCCTTGGGAGGATTTGTTTCAGACCCCTGTGATCTCTTGTTACCAGGTTGTTACCCCGTCATTTACAGAAAACAGGCCTTCGTATGAGAGAGGGTATGTATGTGTGCGTGTCTGTCTGTCTGTCTGTCCAGACATATAGGCTTTGCTTTGGATTCACAGCCTGGTATCTAAGCAAACACTCAGTTGTGCGTTAAGTAACCAAAACGTCCTTGAATTAGAAAGCTTTATTAAAATTGACTTGAATTCATTGCATTTTCTTTACAGCCTAGTAGAAAAAACAATTTTGAGAAGCTCAGAATACCTCTAGGGCTGTACTGGTTCTTGAAAGCTCCATGGCTATGTACGTTACATATAGATATATATATGTGTGTGTGTGTATAGGCACACACGGTACACATACTCTGTTTTCTGGACTCGCTGGTGGCAGTAGCTACTGGGTGCAATCCGTATTATATTTTGAAATGGTTTGGTTGAGGCAGAAGCGGGTTGTTCCCCTTTGTGAAAGCCAAGGCAGAAAGGCTGGGGAGACGCCTGTGCTGCGGTCTCGCCCTTCTCGCCTGCCCCAGCTTCCCCTTTTGTCATTTATTGGAAGAATACTTCATTTAAGACAAATGTGAAGCGTGCTGGCCGTCGGCTTGGGCGGGCTCCGGAGGGTGTTGTGGCTGCGGCAGCTGGGCTGGTGGTTCCTCAATCTCCTCAATCAGTGACTCGGGTGGTGGGGGCAGCGGTTCCTCCGGTCCCGAGGACAATTCCTGGTGCTTGGTGCCACCTGGACTCTGATCCCCAGCTGGTTCCCTCAGCCAGTCAGGGGGAGGTGGCAGATCCGGGGGGTCGGCTGAAGCCCCTGGGTGAGGACAGGAGTCCTCTGCAGCACTTGCTGCCTGGGTGGTGGGAGCTGGAGAGGTGTCCGGGTTGGAAACGCCGCTCACGGAGCCGTCTGCACCTGGTGGAGACAACTGGCCCTGGTCATCGCTGGCGGCGCAGGGGGACGGTTGCTCCGGCGCGGTGGGATCTTCCTGCACGGCTGAGTCTGCTTTCCATTTCCAAGGTAACATAAATAGAACCGATGAGCGTTTGGGAGCCTGGTCGGAGTCCATAAAGGCATCTGGTGTGTCTCCATCTGCAAATGGAGAACGACCTGCCCAGTTTGAATCAACCACTGGCCTCTTGCGGCATTTCCACAGGAGAATTACAACAATAGCCATTATCATACTAATCAAAATGATGCCAATTATCAGTGCTGCGATCCAGCTCCCGTCGCTGGGCTCCGTGTGTGTTTTGGGGAGCTCAGGGGGGGCCGTAACGACCAGGGCTCCTCCGGGTTTGTGTTGGGGGAGCCCAGCTGCTGGCAGAGCTTTCTCTGCTCTTGGAACCCTCATTCTGGTGTTTGCCTTTCTGCTGTTCATGGAAGCGTTTGGAGGTGCTGCTGTAGAGAGCGATTTCCAGACTTCTAATAGCGGTTCTCTTCTACGGAGGTGCTTGTTGGCCATTTTCCTGAAGCTTCTTAAAATACGCCCCCTCCTGTAGCAGGAATGGAATAGAACAGATTGACTTGAACACGGTGTGTGTTGTGTTGTCACTCTTTGCTGACACCAGGCAATTTTACATTAATACTAGAGTAGTTAAAATAATATTAGACCCAATGCTTAAAATTTCATGCCTGTTCCCTTTTGCAAAATCAGGAGGTTTCTCACTGGGTTTACAAACAACAAGCAGATCATCCCAAGATGGTGACTTCTTTGAAGAGTCTGAATTGGTTGTTATTACCTTTTTTCACCTTATCAGGAAAAGGCATCAGCAGAGAACTCCTAACAGTGGTTCAAAATAACGTTTTTCAGTCATGTCAGTGGTTCTGGACCAAATAGGAAGCCCTGGCAGCAGTGTTCACCAACGGGATTGTCACCAGCAAAGAGAATTGTCCTCTTTTGATGGGGATAAGCTGAGACCCAAGTAAAAGGTTCTTTACGTTCTCTTAAACTTTTATTTCCTGTTCTTGCCTCTTCAGCAGTTAAGGGTAGAGTGTAGTAACGTTTAAAAAGTTTCTAAATGCTGATGCTGTAATAGAACAGCATTTTAATGGTAAACTGTTCATATAAAAAAATTCCTGCATGTGGAATCCTTTTATAATGGAGGAGATTGTAGCAGCGTTAAGTTGTTGGCATGAAACAGATTTTTTTCCTCTACTGTTTAGAGTTTGGGTCTCTCGATGTCTCTCTATGAAGTAAATAATATAAAAATGTATCCACTACAGAGCATTTTTCTATCTGAAGTTACTTTCATGCAATTTGAGCTAATTTATTAGTTACTGTAACACTGGTTATGTGAAGCTGTTTCTGGGAAATTAATATGCATAAGTCTTTGTGGGTTTACGAATATGCAAAATTAGATTTCTGGTGTAACAGTGTAAACACCTATGAGTAGTAAATGCTCCTTGAGAACATTATGATCTAAACTCTGTGAGGTTTATAAGAGGTAAAAATGATTCAATTTAATTCTTATTCTGCTCCCCTCTTTTCAAAATACAGTCAAGGAATACTTCTGCGTAGAGTTATGATAGTTCATAGTAACAACATCAAAGAACGTGTGTTTGAATCCCAAATACTTTAAAGACACAGACATTCAACAAGAACTTTGAAAACACCCTGGAGTCGGGACGGGCTCTGTGCTGGCCGCCCTGCGGTTCCTTTTCAAAGCAAATAATACAAATATTAAGCCTTTCCATTTTGGAGTTGATTCTTACCTGCACGTTTCTCTTCTATGGTGCAGGCATCGTCTCCCTTGTTGGAAGCCTTAGAGAGCCCGTGTGCCGACAGGCAGGCAGCTTAAAATGGCTCGTTTCATGTTGAAGGAGGGTTTTTCTGCGGCTGGAGAGGAAGTTTATCAACACTCGCTGCAGGAAGTGTTGAGACTTGGGAGATTACTAAGAGCCTCAGCACAGGGTTTGCATGCTTTGCTGGTGAACTTTCCAGCTCTCTTGTTTTTAGAAAACTCAAATATTTAAATGTTCGTGGCTTTTGTCCTGGGTGTATTATCTAGAAATTCATAAATACTTGTTTGCCTGTCTTTGTTGAAAATAGCTGTAGTTACTCCTGTCTGAGTCAAAAAATAGGCAAGTTTGGATTGGATTTGAGTCTTACTGATTTAATTTCGGTGGTGGGTTTGGTGTGCTGTCAGGGTAATTAGTGGAAAAGCAACCTCAGATTCATTACAGTGAGTCATAGAGAACTATCTGATTACAGGATGCTGGTTTGCTTACGCATCTGCATTTCTGTAGTTGCATTAGAAGGCAGATGACTACAGATTCCACCCTTCTGCCCCTGCTCTGCATGTAATTATTCTGTCTGGATGACTTTGGTACCTGCTGCCATCGTTAGTGGGGCCGTGCTCTCTGGGCAGCTCTTCTCCCACTCTCTCTCTTTGTCCCTACCATTTTGTGCAACCCAAACTACTTCACTTTTGTCTCCTTTAGCATTTTTGCCTTGAACTGCTGCCTGGCAAAAAGAGACCTGCACTAATATGTCCTTGCAGCATTTTGCAAGTGTCTTCTGCTGGTGCCAAGTATCTACTGCCAGCTCCTCCTGCAGCTTCTTCATCTCCTCCTGCTTTCCCTGTTGTTCCTCTCTCTGCTCGCACTAGTTCTCTTTTTCAGACTCTCCCTGCTCCTGCAGCAAACCCAGCTCCTGAGCCCACACTCACATTATAACTCGGTTTCTTGACTGATTCCTTCATCTCATCCCTACTCTCTCCAACCCTCAGAGTCTCCACCTACATTTTGCCACAATTCCCACCTCAATGACAGTTCTTTTTCCTTCCTGTTTCTCCTTCCTCCCTTCCACTAACATGATTGTGATTTTTTTTCCTTTTTTGCCTGCTTTTGTCATGGCACTGCTGGGTTACCCCTCTGCTCTGCTGCCCGCTAACGACTGGCTGACTCTGAGGGATCCTTCTCCTGCCTGAGCTCTGGTCCCTCCCAGATGTGAGTGCTTTTACACCAGGTCTGCTGTAGTGAGGGCCAGATGCAGGCATCTCCCCAGAAATATGGGGAAAATCTAGTCTCTATGGGAATAAAGAGACGAAAAGTTGTGGTTCTTGGAGAAGTTTTTGGCATGTAGCGATCAGTTGTGTTAGGACAAAGTGGAGCGTGTTTCCCTTTGGCTGTTTCTGTGATGCTGTGTTAGGACAAAGTGGAGCGTGTTTCCCTGTGGGTGTTTCTGTGGTGCAAGAAATCACAGCTCCTCATCAGAGGAGACCTTTACTGACCAACAGCAAGTGTTATAGGAATATAATATTCCAAAATGCCTTCTCTAATATTTTTTGTAATATTTTGACTTGGAGAAATAGTATCACGTAAGTCAAATTATTTAAAAACTGATGTTGTTTGTTTATTGGAGGTAATAAATTGAAACAGTTCTCATATTCTAACATACAATACAAACTTCATATATTCATACACCAAGTTGAAACACAATAAATATGATTCAGATCTCACTGTGGTTCAAAAGGTATTGAGCTGGTTTAAGAAGTCCTTGATGAAAAAACCAGAAAGGGCGTTTTGAGGGAGATTAGTTCCTGGTGCAGTAATGGCATCGAAGTTGTGACTGAGTTATGGTTTTCTTAAAATCCCAGCCTGGATGTGGCTGTGTAGCACCTCCTGGTATGGAAGGGTTGTTACTAACTGTTAGAGGACAGTTAACTGTCCTGTTTTTCCTCCTAATGGTCTTTGAGAATGGGCAAACTTCAGTCCTTTTGGTTTATCCTGTTGAGCCTATCCTATCACCATCATTTTTGGTCAAAGGTGTAAAGCCGGTCTTGACACTATTTATAAAAATCAGTTTAACACAATCTTATTCCCTTCTAGATCTATAGGTTGCTACAGTGTTTCCGCTGTCGGGAACGGAAACCCCCTAAGATCTGTATTTAGCTTTCCTGTGTTAACATTCATGTTGCTACTTGAAAGCTAAGGTTTCACCTCCTATTAATGATGTAAAAAAGGCAAAAGGTGAGTTTTTACCTGACTGGGAGTTAAATCTCAACTACAAAATCGGTCAGAATGGGTTTGTGGGACCTTGGTTCTTTGTTTTCCTGTTTGTTATCTGTTTCTTTAGTGAGTTTCTCAGTAGTTCCATCTTCAGTTTTCCTCCCTGCTATAAAGTCCTGCATTATCAGCTCGGTCCCCCCTGTCTCCTTGGGCATCCTCTGCCAGGTTCCTGCTGCCGTTGGCCACAAGCTGTTGGTCGCCAGAATGTCACCATTGCTCCTGGGCCGACGCTTTCCTTGCTGAGTTTTTTTGAGATAGGACATTTTGTTTGCTATTACCACTGTCGACAGAAATAAGAAGGTGCAGATAAGCACAAGCACTGCTATTACAATGAAACAAATCACTATAAGAGACTTATTGTCTTCACATGTTTCTTTTTTCATTGTATTCTTGGGTTTGCTGGTATTTCTGGATCCTCCAGCGGCAGAAACAGCACTTCTGGCGGGGGAAGATGTTGAATTTGGGGCCATTGAGGAGGATAAGGATTGCAGGGTACTATTCCATGTTTCAAAAATAGTCGTTTTGCTGCTGAAATTGATGCTCAGAGGAGAATTTGTGTTGGCTTCTGTGACGTTCTGGCTTTCACTTTGGTTTTGGCTGATGGGGTTCCCGGTTTTGTTTATAACCCGGGGATAATTGGTGTGGTTTGCACTTGTTTGCAAACACAAAGAAAAGATTATCATGACAGGGAAGACCAAACATGGTTTACTGTGTCTCTTTGTCTTCATCTTCCTGTTTAGTCACCTGCAAAAATACAAATGATGGTATTAGTTCAGCAAATGCTGGAGCTTAGAGGATTGAGTCAGACTTCGCAGGGAAGAGCAGGCAGCAGCCTTTCCGATGGGGAAAAAATAAATATGTAACTTGACCTCATTTTTAGTGGATGTAGGAGGATGAGTTCAAGTACTTGGTATTCTGAAAGAAGAGGTTGTCTCCAACTTCTGACAGTTTGAGGTTTATAGGAAATATATGAAGATTACAAAAGAACACAGAGCAAAGAGAGAAAGGAAGGTGTTCCCTACAGAGTGCTCCGTGACGCAGAGACGGGCTCGGTGGCAGTTCCTCCTCGGCCCCGGTTCCTCCTCTTTGCAGCAGACCCTCCTGCAGCTGTAAGCTCATCACTTCTGCTTTCACACAGTGAAAGGAGAAACCCAGGTAAAGTTCACAGGTCACTGCTGCTTACTCGCCTGCCTTCCCCTCATGCGGGAAGCGCAACCACCCTGGTAAAGATGGCCAAGTCAAAACCATTCATCTGACCTGTTCCTGTAAGTGACAGCGCTCTGGAGACAGCGCAGCTGTCTGCAGGATTTCAGAAATGCCTAGGAAAATCTTTGTTCTCTAATTTTTCTGCTTTATCGCACAAAAGGCTATTTATCACAAATGTACTTCTCTAATTTCTCTCCCAAACATGCTACAGATTGTGACATTTTGTTTAAAATGCCTGAGATAATTATGCAAAGTATGTTCTGTCTCACATTTGTGTGCTATTCAATTTTGTACCTGTCTGTAGGGCAGGAAACTGATCTTGAGGTCAGTCTGGCACTGAGATAATAACCTCAAAATATCAGTGACAAACCAGACAAGCGGTGACACCGCTTCTCTGCCGCTTTTATCATAGTCAAAAGTCAACGTGCCTGCTAAGGAACTTGGTGTGTTTGCTTCCCAAAAATCAGAGGGAGAACTTCCCTGTCTAGTGATACCCAAAGGCAGCCCCTGCTGCTGCCGCCCTTCCCCAGGAGGATGGGAAGTGCCTGGAGCAGAACCAGGGAGCAGCCCATGGGCGTCTCTCCCTGCCTGACAAAGGAGCAGCAAAAGATATATTTATCTCTTACTTTGCAATTCCCCCAGAGCATAGAATTAAACTCCATTCTGAGGTGAATCCTTACGGTTAAGTTTGAACTAGAAACCATCTTAGTAATCAACTACAGCTCAGGTTGAATTTATCTTTATATGGTAAAGGTTGCCTGGGTGATGTCTTGGAGCATATTTTAAAAAGGAAAAAAAGCAAAACCAGCAAAGCTTTTGATTTAGAAATGCAACATTTCCCATAAAGAAGCCCGTTTGGCAGCACAGATGTACCCAGTGTTTAATGTCACTGTCCCCGAGTTGCAGATCTCCTCCAGCCTGCTCCCTCCAGGAGCACAGCGAGACCAGCGGTAATTGTGGGGTCCTAGACCAGATGTGCTTTTCTTAAAGATAAACAAACTGATGTTAAGGGCTTTGCTTAAAATGGTAAGAACAAAGGAACTGATCATTAAAAAACTGTTTTTTCTTTTTAGTTCAAGCCTTTGTGCATAGGTATTGATGGGCTCGTCTGTCCCTGCACAGTGGGAGCTGCGATACAGGAACACCAGGGCTGGGCAGTGACTCTCACTGCCAGTTCCTTGGAGTCTGATTATCAATAACCTTTAACATTACTAAAAATACAGTTCTATCAGCTTCCTTAATTCAGTTGGAGATAATATTTTTACAGATTGTTAGTATTTTTCAGTTACTTGAACAACTTTAAAAATAATTCTGCATATACTTTTCTACAAAATCTAAGAAACTTTGAAGTGAAACTTAAAATAGAAGAAGGAAAAGGTGTGCTTACCTTGCCAGGATGTAGTCAAAAGAAACTTGGTCTTTCGGATGTTTAGTCCTTTAACAATAAAAAGTCTTTGTGCATATACTTGGTCTTAGGATGCGAACGACCATCACCATAAAGCAAGTAGATTGAGGCAACGCTGGTATTTTTTCAGCAAATCTGTAACTGAAATGACATGTCGTTGACTCTAAGTGGAGAACTCAAACCACAGAGATGACACACTTCCTCTCTGTAACAACTATACCGTGACACGGTAGAGGGGGAAAAACACCAACTTGCCCAAATTAGCTCTCAGAACAACAGGAAGTAGCACAAGGGGAAAAAAAAGTCTCTCTGGCAGACGAATATTCCACAGTTGTGAAGTTTGTCTGAAGTTTGTCTGCTCCGTTATCCTTCGCTGGAGGTTTCACCTGGGGTGTCACCAGGAGCTGTGTCCCGGCGCGCTCACGGCTCCGTACCTGCTCACGGGCTCTGGGAGCTCTTCCTCCAGGCTGTTTGTTTGCCTTGAAAGGGCTGAGTTCACGTGAGCTTGAAGCAGTGACAGGTATTTAAAAGTACCTTCCGTGTTCACCAGCTACTCCTGAGCTTGATTTTCAATTAATTTTAAGAATTAATTTATTCTTCCTAGGAGAATTTTGTCTGCTTTGCTAACTCTGGGGACCTGGTGTAGGCAAATCACTGCCCGGTCTCATAAAATTCAGAGAATCATTAACCAAGAATAACAGGTTCTTAATATTTATATATCATCTGAATTCTTTTCTGGCAAGAGCTATTTTGTAGACAGATCCTCAGAGGATGGACCATTCTTAGAAACATTCCTCCAGGTGTAAGTGTGCTGTGGTGTGTAGAAAATGGAACGAATTTTGAGCAAGTTGGTATGTGGATGCTTAATTAGTCATAATTAAGACTTCTGAAATACATTTATTTTCCCACATATAAAAGTTGATACAATTTGAATCTCTAGAGAGGTTAAAAAGTTAGTTTGAGGGCCCTACACTTTGCTTGTATTTTAAAAGAAACCCCGAGCTGTTTCCACGTTTCCAGCTTTGACCCAGTTATTTTAAAAGAAACCCCGAGCTGTTTCCACGGGTCGATGCCCCGGTGCTCTCCAGCAGGGATTTTGTCTTCCCTTTTGGTTGAAGGAACCTCCCGTCTGCCTGGGGGTTGCCATGGCCCTTCAAAATGACCCGGAGTTAAATCCCAAGTCAAGTTCTGGGCACCAGACTTGGGTGGTGTGTGAGCCATGATGGAACAGGAGCAGTAGCCACTGGTCCAGCGCTGCGACATTGGATCCATGGGGTTTTGGAGTTTTTGAGAACTATATGAAAGATCCCTCTGGTTTATTGTCGCAGTAGAATGTGTAATGTGGATCTAAAATACAAACCCAACGATATCTGTTTTGTTCTCTTACAGATTCAAGACTGGTCAGATCAACGGAGATTTACTGATCTACCACGTGCTGCTCACGCTGAAGCCATACTATGCAAAGCCATACGAGATTGTCGTGGACCTCACGCACGCCGGGCCCAGTAACCGCTTTAAAACAGACTTTCTTTCTAAATGGTTTGTAGTTTTTCCAGGCTTCGCTTATGAAAATGTCTCAGCAGTTTTTATTTATAACTGTAACTCTTGGGTCAGAGAATACACCAAATACCATGAAAGGCTCTTGACAGGTCTGAAAGGAAGCAAAAGGCTTATTTTCATAGACTCTCCAGGGAAGCTGGCAGAGCACATCGAACACGACCAGCAGAAGCTCCCAGCAGCTACCTTGGCTTTGGAGGAGGACTTGAAAGTATTTCACAATGCTCTCAAACTGGCTCACAAAGACACCAAAGTTTCTATTAAAGTAAGTCCTTTCAATGCCATTCCTATGTCAATTGTTATATTTTTATAAGGATTTGAATAAGATTTTACAGTCTCTTAATTCTCCTTTACTATCTTGAGGAGAAATCACAACTTATTAGTATACCTCTTTAGGAAGTATAAAATTTCATACATTTATCTTTCTAATATATATATAATATATATCTTCTCTCTCTGTATTGCTGGCAGTAGATGCTGAACCTCTTTTCTGTTCTCTTTGTCAGGTTGGGTCGACGGCTGTGCAGGTGACGTCAGCAGAGCGGACGAGAGTCCTGGGGCAAACAGTGTTTCTAAATGACATATACTACGCCTCTGAAATCGAGGAAATATGTCTTGTTGATGAGAACCAGTTCACCTTGACCATCGCCAACCAAGGCACGCCGCTCACCTTCATGCACCAGGAGTGTGAAGCCATCGTGAGGTCCATCATCCACATCCGGACGCGGTGGGAGCTGTCGCAGCCGGACTCCATCCCCCAACACACCAAGATCCGCCCCAAGGACGTCCCCGGGACGCTCCTCAACATCGCGCTGCTCAACCTGGGCAGCTCCGACCCCAGCCTGCGGTACGGACCGTGCCCATTCATACTGGCTTTGGTCAAAAATGTGAATGCTTTCCAAGGTTTTGGTAGTGTTAGAGAATCCCTCTTGAACAAAACAATCTTTCTTTCACCACAGCTCCATAAAATGTACTTCTTAATCTAAAGAAAGTTTTCTGTAGGTGAAGACAGACTGGCAGGGTAATGGAAGGCATATAGGAAGCTTAATTTCTCTTTACAAGGAGAAATATTCTGCTTTGCAGTGCACGTTTGTGAGGAACATTTGATTTTCACTTGTTGAGTTTACTCTTGGTCCCCTGGGAGCCCAACCTCTCGGAGCCACTCCTGGCAGGAAGGGTCTCCTCCTGGGTGCTGGCTCTCCCGGCACCGGGAAGTACTTAGAATTTCCTGGAACTGAAAGATTTTCTGAGAGGTGCAGTCCAGAGTCCTTCAAGCGTACTCTTTAATTTCACCAGAATATTTTTAAAGCAAGTAGAGGAGTGATTTCCATGTCTCTAAGGCAAATTCTGTCTCTGAATCTTAACTGGTGCATTTCCTGGAACTGAAAGATTTTCTGAGAGGTACAGTCCAGAGTCCTTCAAGTGTACTCTTTAACCTCACCAGAATATTTTTAAAGCAAGGAGAGGAGTGATTTCCACGTCTCTAAGGCAAATGTTGTCTCTGAATCTTAACTGGTGCAGGGGAAAAAAGTTCAGGATTTAGATGGAATCTCTTATGTAGCAGGATTGGTTTGATTTTTAAAATGTCAGTACTACTACTGTGATGCCTTGCTGTGATGTGTGTGTTTTAAAATGTACAAGAAAACTGTTACAAGTCCCATTGCTTGCTCTGTTACAGGTCTGCTGCCTATAACCTTCTCTGTGCCTTAACCTGTACCTTTAATTTAAAGATTGAGGGCCAGTTACTGGAAACGTCAGGTCTGTGTATTCCTGCCAACAACACGCTATTTATTGTGTCTATTAGTAAGACTCTCGCAGCTAACGAGCCCCACCTCACCTTAGAGTTCCTGGAGGAGTGTATTTCGGGATTTAGCAAATCCAGTAAGTAACATACCGCTGGCGTTCCTTAGCGCTCACCGGGACTCTGACGGGATTTCAGCTGGCAGCTGGCTGGCTTAGGCAATTAAGCTTCCTCGTGTTACTGAGTCACAATCAGTTTAACTTGCAAGTTCTGCTTTAGAGCCCTTTTAGTTCTTTTCAAGATTATCCATTTATATCTGTTCCCTAATAATCGGGTTGTGTAATCCTGCGACGCCAGGCAGTTCCACAAACTGGAACGGCATCTGTTGGAGCAAACCCCTTGCTTTCCCCTTTCAAATGTGGCTCTTTCCTTTCTCATGAAGTAAAATAAAAAACAAAACAAAACCACGAAAGGTAACGGCCTTTTAAACTTGGAAATTAATGTCAAAACAAGTTTTTTTACTAGACGTCTCATTTGTTCAGAGGATTAAGTTCAATCTGAGAGATCTCAATACAGGTTTGTTTCCTGTTGCTGGTTTTGTGCAGCGAGTCCTTTGGGTAGATCTCCCTCAGGCTGTTACTGGGTCAGCAGAATTAGAGAATATTGCAGAACAAAAATCAAAATTTGAGGTCCATGATCACGAAGCTTTAAACTCCAGTAGATGCACACGCAGAGGAGTTACAGGGTTCTTCAGTTGTATCAAAATTTATCTTTTCAGTTTCACTGTATCTCAGTTGTAGATCTGGTTCTGTTGCACTGCTTTTGTCATCCTTTTTGTCTCGACATAACACAGCTCTGACTTCACTGTTGGAAGCTGTTTAGAATACATTCTCCAGATTAAAAAGACATTATCTTCAGTAGTCCTGCCTCATACTGAACACACAGCTGGATGTCACATCTCCTAATAAGATACTAAAATGCCATCATCTCCTTGCCAGGTTCCTACAGACATTTCTGGGATGACACACTATTAGAGTATGTTTCTTTTTGAAGCTTATCTCTTTGCCCAGTGTTATTTGCTCTGCTCTGATAGTAAATATTTTAGACAATGAAACTGAAAAGTGCTCATTAATAGTTATTTACTTACCAGCAGAGACCGGTGCTGATTCTGTGTTACAAAGTGAATTTTTATTTCAGGTATTGAACTGAAACACCTCTGTCTGGAGTACATGACTCCCTGGCTCTCCAATCTGGTCCGATTCTGTAAACACAACGATGATGCCAAGCGCCAGCGAGTCACTGCGATTCTCGATAAGCTTATAACGATGACAATAAATGAAAAACAGATGTATCCTTCTATTCAAGCCAAGATATGGGGAAGTCTTGGACAGGTACAAATTCTGCATAATTTATTGCCGTTTGTTTATAAGCAGATTATAGTTTCTTCAGAGTTCTGAAGCACTTTGATTTGGAGTAAAACCTGATGGAATTAATCTATTAATCTTTATACTTCCAATTTTTACATTAGACTTTTTTCCAAAAGGATAACAAATGACTAAAAGTGGTGCTTCAATTTATTCTGGTTATGGATCTTCAACTGAAAAATGAAGGATTGCTTATTTAAAAGTTGGTTTACTGTGAAAGAATGAAGTTAATCTGACTGATAAGAGGATGTTTTTTTCTCTGACAGATAACAGATCTCCTTGATGTCGTGCTGGACAGTTTCATCAAAACCAGTGCCACGGGGGGCTTAGGCTCCATCAAGGCTGAGGTCATGGCAGACACAGCGGTAGCCCTGGCTTCTGGAAATGTCAAATTGGTTTCCAGCAAAG